GCCACGGCGACGGCCAAGGCTGTGCCGTGCGGACGGGCCGTCGGGGCGCTGCACTCCTCCCGCCCCCAGGCGCCCGCCACCTGCCGAAAGCTGGCCCGGCGGCCGCTGTCCCTCGGCTGCAACCCCCTCTGCCGTGGTTCCAGACAGTTTCTGCCCAGTTACCCGTTTCCTAAAACATTCCTGCCTTGTTTACTTTTCTGTTGCCCGTGGCTGCGGTGTCTTTCCCCAGTCGCCTAAGAGAAAGCCTTGTGTCTGCTTGTGTCCGGGCATCACTTAGTTACTCACTTGACCATTGATTCGTTCTCAGTACCCTGGCGGTTGACAGGAGCTTTTGGCAATGTTTGGAGTCCCCTTCATCCCTGACAGTATCTGAGGTCAGAATAAAATCGTTATGTACGCGCTCGATGTAGGGCTTTGCCTTTTAGTGTTACTGATACCCTCTCGATATTCGTGGTTCTAGGTTGCATAAAATGATACTGGAGTGTAGCAACTTAAGTTTGAGGTCATGTTTTCTTAAAGTGACCACTCTGACCACTTCTAGTATCTACTCTTAAATGTTTACTGTATTTGTTTCAGTTATTTGTATTCCGAAGTATAAATGATGCACAGTCGGGAAACCAGATAATTCATTCATATAGTTTCTCCTCCCCACCCCCACCTCCATATTTGAAACAGGCTCATTTTGTAGCCCAGGATAGTCTAGAGCCGTAGAGCTAACTAAGTAGGCCCCAAACCCGCTGCAGTCCTCCAGTCTCAGCTTGCCTACTGGTGAGATGATCGGCGGTAACCATCACACCGAGCCACATACACTGTCTTGGTCAGTGTATGTGAACCTGTGCGCGGTTGCTTATGGAGGCAGACGAGGGTATCTCATTCCCTAGGAGCTGGTGTTACAGGAGTTTGTCAGCTGCTCAGAAACGAAGTAGATGCGGGATCAGAACTCTGGACCGAGGTGGGCGGGGAGAGAAGTAAGCACTCGCAACCACTAAGCCATCCATGTTGGTCTTTTGTTTGTTTTTTCAAAACAGGGTCGGTCTTTGTAGCCTTGACTGTTCCAGAACTCCTTCTGTAGGTCAGGATGCCTTCCTACTCACAGAGATCCTCCTGCGTCTGCCTTCCCTGTCCTGGGATTAAAGGTGTAAGTCACCACCGCCTGGCTGATCTGTCTCTTTTTAAACTACAAAAGTATTGCTATATGCTTTTACCTGTTACAGTTTACCAGGGTCCCTCAGTCTTTTACCCTATAACCTGATCATTGTGTGAGCTATGCTTTAGTTTGTCTTTTAGGAAGGGGAGCTAGATAAAATGATTTAGTGCAAAATCTGTCTCCTGTGAACACTTTCTTAAGTGGATATTTTGGTGGTATGTACTGAAAATTTCTCCAATAATAGAACTATTTTTTTGTAGTGGAAATGTTCTAGGGTGCTGGTGACTTTGCACAGAAAAGTCTTTCTAAGACATAGATTTAAGGGAATTACCACTTGAGTTTTATAATTTTTAACATACTATATGTAATCATACATTATGTGTTCTAAACTAAAAACATGTCAGTGCATTGGACTTTTTCACAAGTTTATTCGCTCAACTAAAGTAAGTTCTTTTTAAAAATGTTTTTTTTAAGTTTAAGAAAAATGTATATTTTATGTGTATGTGCCTCTGTGTGATGAAAGTCAGAAGAAGGTGTCTGTCACAATACAGTCATTGGAGCTACAGGTGTTTGTGAGTCACCACGAGGGTGCTTTGAACCAAAGGGTCCTCTGGGGGAGCAGTAAGTGCTTTCAACTGCTGAGCTGTCTCTTCTAACCCCACAGAGTAACAGCCCTGACCGTGCCATTTAGTGAGCTCACTAAAATGCTAGACCTCAGTAGTTAATGCTAACATCTACTTAAATTAGAAGATGTTTAAGTATCTATAATTTTTTGTCATTCTTCTGAAAAAACTTAGCAGCAATAGAGTTCTATTTTACATCTTTTAAAAACTAGGTAATATTGCTCAGGCTTTTCTGGAATCTAGGAACCTCTTGCTCCAGTCTCTGGAATTCTGAGACAGCAGGCATTCATTACTAAATATAAATCCTCCTATGTTCATCCAGCTTGTTACACTAATAATAATTAAAGAAAACCATACACGACTCAAACGGTGTACTTGTTTGTTATTTTAAAAATCAGTCTAGTGCAGGTTGGCTTGTGGAGGAATGGACCTGTTGAGTTATGATATTAAAAGACAAATAGTTTGACAGTGGCATGGAGCTGTAAAAGCTGTAGAGAATAAGAGGGTGCAGATAGGCCACAGATAGGCCAGAACCCAAGAACAGGCAGGCTCAGAATGGGGGGGAGGGGGACACTTGAAGTGACAGGTTCTTCCTTTCAGGGTGGGTGTGGGGGTGCTGTTAGTTTTTGACAGGTTCTCACGGTGTAGACTTGAGTAGCTTAGCACTATGTGCAGACCATGCTGGCTTTGAATTCATGGCAATATTTCCACCTCTACCTTCAAAGTGTTGTAACTGCAATAGGGTGTACGACTGTCCCCAGCTCTTAAATGTTTCTTAGACTATTCTGCAGTTCACTTAGGTAGCACTTGTAATAAAGGCTAGTAGATGAAGTAGATATTTCCACACATTTGAGAATGTGTGGAGTCTTTAGTAGACAGTTGAGCTGGACATGGTCGCTTATGCTTGTAATCCCAGCACTGGAGAGTGAGGAAGAAGTGGATCATTGTGCTTAACACCAGCTTGGGCACAGAGATTTCGAGGCCATTCTGGGTGACAGAATAAAAACCCCATCCTTGAAATACCCAGAGGAAAAAAGAGAAGCCATAGCTACACAGAGAAACCATCCCTAAAAAAATCCTTAAGTGAAAAAATTAAATGAGTAATAAGAATAAGAAATCTCTTGCAGCTGTTGTTTTACACACTGTTTTTGGTGGTGAATTTTGTAAATTATCAATCTTTTGCAAATGACTTATTTTGCAGTTGAAGAAAATAAGAAGTATTTTGGATGAATCATTGTTCATGCAGATTATAGTAAAGTACACGGCCAGAAATGTCAATAGAAGTATGTTGCGGGTGCTTTAAAAAGAAACTATTTCAAGTAAAAATTGAGTTTGGCCTTAAACAATAAGTAACAGTTGAGTATTATAATAGTATTTTGGCAGCTTTTAGTATAATTGTGATACTTTTTTGTATAATTTTCTGTAATTAGTACTTTGGTAACCACTGTCATACTAGAAAAAAAGTGTATGCGTAAGTCATACACTTTGCAAAGTCCCAAAAGGTGTGTATGGCTTCTGAAACTCACTGTCTGGACTTGGTGTTTTTGACTTTGCACATCTTACCTTCCTGTTGTCTTCTACTCAAGTAGTCTTTCTCTGTGTGGTGTTGTACAATAATTTCTGTCTTGTCAGATGAGTGAGTTCTGTAACTTTCCCTGAGGACAGTGTTGTTGCCTGAAAGTCAAGCTAGTTTATTTCTCCTCCTCCCCCTTTTGTAGTGCTGAGAATTGAGCCTAGCACTTCAATCATGCTAGATAAGCATTACACAACTCAGCTGTTTCCCCAATTTTCTACCCCTTCCCTCTGTCTGCTGTTTTGAGGACCTCCGCAGGAGGTTGGCCTCAAGCTGTTTTTCCTCCAGAACAGTGATGAGTCTACTGGTGTGTCCCACCTGTGTCTTTTATATGATTTTGGTTTTTTTAGAGACAGTTTCTCTGTATAGCCCTGTATCTTTCATTTTTAAACTTAGTCTTCTTTCTTACATGTTAAGAGTCCTCCATCTAATGTTTATTGAGCTGCAGTGAGCTTGATCATTTGTAACATAGCAGAGATTCTGGGCCTCAAGCCATTGGTAACCCAGCTTGTGGGGAGACAGTTCTCTCCTACCTTATGGGTTCCAGATTAAATTAGGTTGTCAAGCTTGAGGGCAAGTGCTTTTATCTGATGCGCCATCTTGATAGCACAACCAGTTGTCTCTTAGTTGATTTGTAAGTTCAAGGAAGGCCACGTGGTGGTGCACCTCTAATCTCCTTTAATCTCTTCACTTGGGAGGCAGAGGCAGGTGGATCTCAGTCAGTTCGAGGCCAGCCTACAGAGCGAGTTCCAGGACAGCCAGAACTACGTACAGAAACCCTGTCTCAAAAAATCAAACCAAACCAGCAAACAAATCTTCAAGGCAGATACATCCTGTCTGTTATATTTCTTTCTTTTTTCCCCCCTCCTCTTCCTTTAGTGCTGAGGGTCAAACTCTCCCAGCCTCATTTTGCTTTATTACACACTTATCATTTAGAAATAAAAGTTTATGTCTTGGACTGTGGAGGCTCACACCTTTAATTCTAGCACTTGGGAGGCAGAGGCAGGCAGATTTCCATGAGTTTAGAAACCATCTCTCGAGAAACAAAAAGCAAGCAAACAAACAAAACCAAGTTTATGTTCTTCATAAGTGAAGCGAAATAACACTTTGGGTTCATATGGATGGATTACTTTTCAAGATTATTTTCTTGGAAACGTAAGTTTTGTAGAATTACTTTACTAACATCTCTTTAAGAAGTTTGTGATTACTTCCATGTTAGGTCTCAGGAACCTGGGACAAAAAGGCTAGCTA